TAACCGTTTATCTCGATTAATGTTTTTTCATAATCCTTAAAAGCCAAAATCGAAACCAAATTTTCGATTAATTGCACAGCCCTAAGTGTAATTAAAATGTAATTATATAAAGTGGGACCTTTTTGGATATGAATACAAACAAAAATGCATACAAAAATGTCAGATATTCAGTGTGCAAAGAGCTTTAATCCATGTCTTATCTAGTTTGAAAGCCTGTCCAGAATAGTGAAACTCCCTATTAATGCCCATGATTTTAAACTCCAAGCCCAAATGTGCTTGGACAAGCTTTCACTAGGGTGTGGTGTCAGGGTGTCCTCATACTTTTGGGAATCTGGTGCACATTCACCCATGACTGCTCATCACTTGATTCTATTGCACCGCTTTGCTTGGCAACAGCACATAACTAAACTCTTTATCATACTGTTCCTATCCAAACTACTGAATAACAAGTCCGTCCTTGTGTAAGGCATGTCCTGCCCTCTCAGCACTGTTAACCTAGTTAAGCCTTTAAATGTCACATTAAGCTGAATGCTAGTATCTTGCAAAACATCTAGTTAAATATTGTGTACTGCCATCAGGTCAAAGACAAAAGAAATGAGTTAGACATTAGTTATGAAATCTATTTAGTTTCAAAATGTGCAGGAAAAAAATTAGTTAAACAGCACTTGGGAAATGCGTATTATTGATAATAATTTTGACTTCAACTGGTCTGTCCTATATGGGTCTGTCCTATATGTCGTTCCTGAATGAGTTAAGATTAAAGCAGTAGGAGTTGGCAGGACTGCTGTGCTTCAGCTTCTGCTTTACTCAGATGCACATGTGTGTGTTCACGTGCGTGTGTTTGCGCGTGCATGCATTCAGCTTTCCCCTCAGACCAGCATAGCATTCACGCGTACCTCCGCTAATTAACTCCCACTAGCTCAGCCTCTAATTATCCAGCTAAATTAATTATTTTCTAATGTAACACCCACCATTTTCAGCCCTCAGCACACGACTACACTGTTGTTTTGGACCAGTGACATATTCATTAGATCGCCTGTACTTTGTGTACTTTGTTTTTTTTTTTTTTCTCGACAAACTAAAAAGTTTGCATGCTTCCATTAAAGGGGTGGTCCACAGTGTGTTTTTACGGCTTGGATGTGTTTATAAGATGCAACGCAATGTGTGCTTATACTTCATTTGTAGAAAATAAGTATTGAACACGGCACAGTTTTTCTCAGAAAACATACTTATAAAGATGCTGCTGATTCCAAATTTTCCCTAGATGTTGGTAACAACCTAAGAAATCCATATTTGCAAAGAAAACAAATCTAAATAGTTTACTAATGGAGTTCTGTGTAATAAAATGAAATGACGCAGGGAAAAAGTATTGAACACATGAAGAAAGGGAGGTGTAGAAAGGCATGGAAGGCCCAGACAGCAGCTGAAATCTCTCAGTAGTTCTCCAGCAACCCTCTGCCCTTCCTTAGTATAAACGGATATCGACTCCTTCAGTCCAACATCTACATTAGCAGGAGGATGAAGATAAACCCAGGGTGGACATTTCAGCAAGACAATGATTCAAAACACATTGAACAATAATTCAAAACACACACGAAAAGACTCTTGAATGCATTCACAGAAAGAAAATCAAGCTGTGGAATGGCCCAGCCATTATTATTCCCTGGAAAAAATATGACGTGTTCAGTACTTTTGTTCCTTGCTGTAAGTAGAACTAGATAAAATATGTAGTCAAATGTTCTTAAAAGCACTGTCTGCATGAATTTAATCCGTTTTCTTTGTATTGTTGTTATTATTAAAGATGAGAAAAGCGACACAAATATAGTAAGAGCAATGAGGTATTTCTGCAAACACAGTAGGTTTATATATATATATATATATATATATATATATATATATATATATATATATATATATATATATATATATATTTTTTTTTTTTTTTTTTACATACATAGATTCAAAGAGAACCACAGGTGAACAGGGATGTTGCAAAAGAACAGCTTCTGCTTTAAACTGGACTGACTGAATATTTAGGCCTACTATAAATATCCACTATTGAAAAACATACAGACAAATGTAAAATACAGTAAAATCTGTTGAAACGGGTCAATCTGATGGCAGTTAAGTTTGCAGCTGGATATTATTGGGAGATCGTTGACAGGTACAGTGATTAGCTCCGGCAGAGAACGTCTGAAGCTCATATGCAAGTTTTTTTTTTTTTTTTTTTTCTACATTCTATGACAGAAAAACCACTAAGCCTAAAATATAAAAAAGATTTCAGTCGTATAGAGGGAGATCTTTTCAGAAATGCTAGGTGAAACACCAGTGTGGACGTGGATCATTTTTGTTCTAAAATGCCATTTTTAAACTAAGACGTATTAGTGTTTACGGGGCTGTAGTGTGTATTTTTTGCGAGCTGGTTGCTGCAGCGACGGGGGTGGGCGGAGTATCATGATGCCGCTCAGCACCATGATGTCTATCGGCCATCGGTGATGGACAATGGCATCGTCTATCGAGCCAACTCTATTAGATACGATATCCAGCCATTCAGACTTTGTAAGGGGTTTGAGTTGTTGCCATCTTCGAGTTACAGTTGTCTCACTGATTGCTAGATATTTGTCTTTTACCATTAAGTTGGCTGCAATATTTCCCAGGTAAATTGTTGTAAAAGAAAGTCCGTTCCATCACCAAAAGTACTTCATATTACTTGCATTACATCCTGCCAGTATGACTGAATGGCTGGAAAACTCCAAAAAATGTAGAAATAGTTTGCTAGGTCTTCCTCACATTTCCTCCAGCACTGTCCCCTGTCCTTCCCCAGTGTTTGCATATACATTAGCCTGGGGGTTATAAAATATTTGGTAAGATTCCTCCAGCAAAAATCTCGCCACATACCAGAGCTTTAGAAGAAGCGGCCTGTACGAAGACGTTATTCAACCAATCTTCCTCTGTGAAGATCCCTTAGTTGGATTTTTCTCTTCAATTTTAGTGATTTGTTGAGTGTTCCTTGGTGGATTGGATGGAAGAAAACAACTTATAAACAAGTCCCCTATTGTCGTTGTTCTTATAGATGTCAATAACTAAATCAATTAAGTTGTAATGGGTTCACTTTTGCTCATGGTTAACCGCAAGGATTACAAATGTAGGCAAATGACGGCACTTCACTATTAAAACTTAATAAGAAGGCCGTATCGAGGAGGCTAATTCAGAAAGTGTCCTTGTAAAGGCTTAGTCTATTTTAGACTTGTATTGGAAGTTCAGAGCCGCAGTTTGGAGCCTGGTTTAGATTGCAGAAAATTGCCAGTTGCTTCAGAGAGATTATTCTGCACAAAGCTGCATATCTAATCGCTTAATGCCCACTGCTGGAGCAGCAAACCAGTAGCAATAACACGGCTAGTAGCGTGATATTAAAAAGGTCATTCAGATATTCACATACAGAGGAGGTAGAATTAATGGATCGCGGGTTTATGAATAAAACAATCAGATTTGCAAAATTGCATAGCATGTAGTCTCTTATTTTTGGGCTGAAATCCCAAACACCGTGACATGGTTACAGGATGAGTGTGATTATATGTATAGTAGGCCTGTCACAATAATAAATATATGAACTTATCGCACAACACATGGACATGACCTCAATCGCCCATACACTACTTGACAAAAGTCTTGTCAATCCCAGTTGTAAGAGAACTTGACTTCTAGTTGATAATTCGGAAAAGTGTCAGATGGTGGATTTTTTTTGATGAATCATCTGCTGAACTGCATCCCAATCACCACAAATACTGCAGAAGACCTACTGGAACCAGCATGGACACAAGATTCTCATAGAAATCAGACAAATTTGGTAAAGGAAAAGTCATGGTTTGGTGTTAAAATCAGTATTGGGGCGTGCGAGAGATCTGCAGAGTGGACGGCAACATCAACAGCCTGAGGTATCAAGACATTTGTGCTGCCTACAAACCACAGGAGAGGGACAATTCTCCAGCAGGATAGCGCTCCTGCTCATACTTCAGCCTCCACATCAAAGCTCCTGAAAGCAAAGAAGGTCAAGGTGCTTCAGGATTGGCCAGCCCAGACACCAGACATGAACATTATTAAGCATGTCTGTGGTAAGATGACGGAGGAGGCATTGAAGATGAATCTGAAGAGTCTTGAACTCTGGGAGTCCTGCAGGAACGCTTTCCTTGCCATTCCAGATGACCTGTTATTCACCTAATCTTCTAAATGATGACTGATTTGATGTTTTCTTTATGCGTTTGCTGCCGCAGCTCAATTCAAAGCTTTATGATATCTCTCAGCTTGACTCCTCGTATGATCTCCTTTCACGCCTCGCTCTGAGCTATAGCGTATTAGCAAAGCTCTGCAATATCCTCACAGGACCTTGGGTTTACACCTGCACTGATTTATAGCTTTCATAAACCATCTGACCCTCGAACTAGGAAAGCCCCAGTGGGCGTCCATAGTTTATACATTATGGTGCAATAACAAGAGGCTGTATTAAGTTGTAAACGCAGCAAACCCCACATAGGATTTTCAGTCAATGCCAATGGAGCCTTTTCACAAGACTGCTATGGCGTGTTTAACAGTCATCAACATATTAATCCTTCAAAGTATTTAATATTTGCATTTTTTTGTGTGTATGAACGTTTATTTACGCATGTATTATATCATCTTGGCACCTAATTACAAAAGCAAAATGAATTGCCGCTTATGCGAGTTGTTTGTAATGCAAAGTCTACCGAAGTGGGATCGTAAGTTTGTCGTTGTTCTTTCTTCTGGTCACCGTCTCGCACTATTTGTTTCCTTTTTCTGGACGTCTTGATAACACGAGATTGTTTCGTTTTTATTTTATTCCCTGCGCTCTAACTTTACCCATATGACGACTTCCGCTATGGTGGATAATATTTGACTGCCTTTTGGTTTCTAGCACATCTAGAATGAGCTAGGAAGACATTGGTGCAGCATCTGTTTAGTAACGATAAGCTCTTGTTCCCCAGGCCTGATCCTCACCCGAGGGGCGCCGCGCAGCAGCCTGACGCTCTGCAGGAGCAAGATGAAGAGATCCTGGGCTCCGATGATGAAGAACAGGAGGATCCCAATGATTACTGCAAGGGTACGAGTCATGCACGCATAACACCGGCAGACATTCATGTGCACATTAAAAGCGTATCACACATTCTGGGAGTCACGATGCAATTCCGTAATGATTCCTGACCTACATATTTTCCTGTTTTTTCGGCTGTGCAAATACTTTCCAGCTTCACATTTTAACCCGGTTTGGATGCTTTTGCTTATGATTGGAATCTACAGTATGTATGACAGTACTGCCATCTTCAAAATGGTTGATTTTATTAACAAAGCAATATTCAGGATGAATCAAACATTGAAATCCCTCATAAAAAAGCAATTATAAAGAACAAACATTTTTTTTTCGTTTTTAAAGGAATTGTTTTTAACCTTTAAAGGAGACCTATTATGTCCCTTTTTACAAAATGTAAAATGCATCTCTAGAATGTGTATGTGATGTTTCAGCTCAAAATACCACACAAATAGTGTTTAAAAACTCTCTGAAACGAATCCTTTCAGGCTTTGAGAATAACTGTGGCGTTTTGGTGACTGTCACTTTAAATTCAAATGAGATTGTGCTCTTTTTAGAAAAGGGCGGAGCTACAAATGCCTGTGTGTCAGCATAGTGGCAGATTCAAAAACAAGACTAACGTCCTATGCTAATGAGGGAGAGATGGTCACTAGTGGGCGGGGCTTTCCCCCTCTGATGACACGTTCAAAGGGAGAATGTCAATCAAAGTGTTTCTGCAGACTTTATCAAGTGTGATTACAAAAAAAGTTAAATAATTTTTACCGTTAGAAGCTGGTTATATTCAAACACTGCTGACACTTTCACCCTTATAAAGATCATTTTTGCATTGTAGGTATCCTTTGAAACAAGGAAATGCCTCCAAAGGAAAAATATTTTAATAATTTAACTTTCAAATTTATATTCTTATAATTAATTAAATTACAATAATTCTAAGAAAAATTAATACATACAGATTCAGATTTTTTTCTAAGAACTTAATAATAATTATAATAATTATAAACAACTAACAGTTGGCTGAAATCGACTAGATGACTGTTTTACAACATTGTTTTAACATTGTTTTATCTTCAATATTGCTGCCTGTATTGCTGTGATTTTGAGTCTAAATGCCATTCAAAATTGCTGCCTATATAACCAATATATGGATTTTACTTTAGGTTGTCGATAAGTAATTACTAGGCCCACACAGAACCTGTGCACATTTTCATTGTAAACCTTAAAAACAACCTTAAAAAGCAACAAATAATAACTTGACTTAGTTAGTTGATCATTTGGAAAAGTGGCAGAAGGTGGATGAATCCAAAGAATCACCTGCTGAACTGCATCCCAATCATCACAAATACTGCAGAAGACCTACTGGAACCCGCATGGAGCCAAGATTCTCATAGAAATCAGTCAAGTTTGGGGAAGGAGAAGTCATGGTTTGGGGTTACATTCAGTATGGAGAGATCTGCAGAGAGGATGATCAACATTAACAGCCTGAGGTTTCAAGACATTTGTGCTGCCCATTACATTACAAACCACAGGAGAGGGACAATTCTCCAGCAGGATAGCGCTCCTGCTCATACTTCAGCCTCCACATCAAAGCTCCTGAAAGCAAAGAAGGTCAAGGTGCTTCAGGATTGGCCAGACCAGTCACCAGACATGAACATTATTGAACATGTCTGGGGTAAGATGACGGAGGAGGCATTGAAGATGAACACAAAGACTCTTGATGAACTCTGGGAGTCCTGCAGGAACGCTTTCTTTGCCATTCCAGATGACTTTATTAATCAGTGATTTGACTCACAAATGTATGAATGCAGTCCTCCAAGCTCATGATGGAGTCAGACACAATATTCATTCTGTCTCCACTGCAGCAGGACTTTATATTCTATACTGGACATTATTTCTGTTCAGTGACAAGACTTTTGTTTTAGAGTCAAACATTACTTTCCTCATGAAAATCATTCAAAGTCAAGGCATGATCATATTTTATTGTGGTAAAATAAACGTCATCTACAGGCCTTTGCCTTTCATATAAGCCACTTCTGATACCAAATGATCAACCAGAAGTCAACTTATTATTTGTTTATATATATATATATATATATATATATATATATATATATAAAAAATTCATTGTCTGTAGATTATTTTATTTATTTATTTATTTTTTCTAACAACCAAATCCCATTTTCTAGGTGGTTACCACCATGTGAAAATAGGCGACCTGTTCAACGGACGGTATCATGTAATCCGCAAGCTGGGTTGGGGCCACTTTTCCACTGTTTGGCTTGCCTGGGACACACAGTACGTTCATTTACTTCTGTTTTTCTCCTTCTGGAGTACCAGAGTTTTTAAGTATGCACATTTAGCATTGTTCTGCTTGCAGAGGGAAGCGTTTTGTGGCCATGAAAGTGGTGAAGAGCGCCGAACACTACACTGAAACAGCCCTGGATGAGATCAAGCTCCTGAAAGCTGTGAGTTCACACCGACACCAGCGCCGCCATACAGACCTACACAATGAAATATTCACAAGACCGTTTAGTATCAGAGGCATTTGAAGAGCCTGCGGTGAGAAGGTGATGGGAGCCTCTTATAGCTACATGGCCTCAGTGAAGGGCTTTCATTAAACGAAAGCACAGTTTACTTTGTTATAAGTTAACATTTGTGTGCTGTTACCGATGTTTTCATCTACTCTAGGGTGATTTTGAGTCTTAATTTGGCCACAACTTTTTTTGTGTTTCAGCAGATGGAATGATTTTTGGTGACAAATCTTAATTTGACACACGTTTTGGGAAAATTCTTTGACAATTTTTCAACAATACACTCTGGGAAATTTGACTACCCTTTCGTTATGTTTGGGGCTGTTTTTGCCCCATTGACTTCCACTATAAGGACGCTTTTTGGTTGTAAAGCATTGATATAATCATGCATTCTTGATTGTTGGTGGTTTTTCCTGTTGGGAAGAGATAAAAGTTAAGATTTATTTCACCTCTCACAACATAGTAAACCAAGTGCATTTTTGCACACACACCAATAAACTGCGGTTTTACTCCATAGAACTCCATACAGAAGTTTTTGCCCAGGCTTCTCTAAAGAGTTAATGCTGCCAACTAATGATCAACTGTAAAAATTAAAGAGGAAAGAACCAGCAATCAAGAACGCATGGTTATTTGGTTGCATGGCTTTGCAATTAATATATGTCATTATAATGGAAGTCAATAGGGCAAAAACAGCCCCCAACATAACGAAAGGGTAGTCAATTTAAACAATGCACAAGGGCTAAAGAGAAGGATTTAGAAATGTTGGTTATTTTTTCCCATCTCCATCTTGTGTATTCAGGTCAGGAACACAGACCAGAATGATCCCAGCAGAGAGAAAGTGGTGCAGTTATTGGATGACTTCAAGATCTCAGGCGTCAACGGAACCCGTATCCTTTCAGCATCGCAAATATATCATTTCTTTACATCATACATGCTTGCAAAAACATTTAGGGCTGCCACTTATTGCTATATATTAATACCGATTAATCAACTACTACCTTACCAACTATTATAAGCAGCCAATTAGTGGTTTCTTGAGCTAAAAGTCTTAGTTAATGGTTCGTGAATTGTACATCAAAATGAAGTGCGACCTTGATGTCAACTAATTATCAGCATCAAATCCAAAGACACGATCCAAATGTGTCTTTCTCCATTGCTTTGTGCTATTTTTTCAGTTTTATGATCCGCATTCAGCATCATTTCTCTTTAACGTGCGGCTTCAGATGTGTGTATGGTGTTTGAAGTTCTCGGCCACCATCTGCTCAAGTGGATTATTAAGTCTAATTATCAGGGCCTGCCTCTGCCGTGTGTCAAAAGCATCATTCGACAGGTGCCTTTTTCTCATTTATTAATGTTTACTTTGGTTTTATGGACGGTAGAGCTGCATGGATAATCATTAAAGGGACTTAAACGAGATTTAAACACACATGCAGTTTTATTTATTAAATGAAAAAGGTTTGTTGTTGTATTTTAAAGCTTTCAAATCAGTTTGATTACAGTTCTATAGACTCTTTTGTCACACATATTGTCACTTTATTGTGACCTATTTTATAATGGTGTAACAAACATGCAAAAAAAAAAAAAAGAGAAATCAGTAAGGGGGCAAACACTTTTTCACAGCACTGTATGTATTTGATTAAGATATTTCAGATAAGTAAGCCATTGGTGAAAGTTGTAAGCTACTCAAGCTAATTCTAGTAGGAAATTGAGAGGGAAAAAACTAATATTTCTTTTTTTATTTCCCCGTGTAGGTTCTGCAAGGCCTGGATTACCTGCACACCAAGTGTAAGATCATTCACACTGACATAAAGCCAGAGAACATCCTCATGGACGTCAATGAAGCGTATGTAAAGAGACTGGCAGCGGAGGCCACAGAATGGCAGAAATCTGGAGCTCCACCGCCTTCTGGGTCCGCAGGTGACGCAATCTCTTCTCTCAGATACTCAAAAGCAGAACGTTTCAGAGATCTTTCAAAGAGAAAATATTAAACATACAGTTGAAACCAGAAGTTTACATACACGGCGCACAAGCAAAGCGATCCGCATGGTCGTAGGCTGTTACATAAATGCGATCTCGACTTGTAATACTGCGCTCACGACATTTGACATTGAAATAACGCCACAGGTAGATCTGTGTATAAAAGGCCTGTCGCCACAGCTGGAGAAGATCTTAAGAGCAGTGGTTCTCAAACTGTGGTACGTGGGCTGCCTTCTAGTGGTATGCAGAGTAATCCAATATGTCATATGTACATGCAACATATATTTAAAAATGATCAAAAATAGTTCATATATGAATATGATGACTTATAGCCTATATTTATGAGGTCCAAGCAGCATTTTCAGGCTTTGATGAATAGGATACTATAGGTTAACACTTTACATTTAAGTACTTACTTTTTAATAACAGTAGCCTACCATTTTAATGAACTTTTAAAAGCATATTTTAATTTAAACGTTGACATTTTAATTGTGTTTGTTTCTTTTTTTACGCATAAGCACAGCAGTGTTAATGTTCAAACTATTTATAAAGTTCAAAGTGGCCGATTATAAATAAATATTTTTAATAATAGTAATTAATATGCCTCTTTTTCAAACTCTGGAGCTGCTTAATTAGGGCTACTATGCTACTGTATTTCAATGCTGGTCAAATGGTGGTACTTGGAGGGACAGTTTTTTCTGAGATGGTACTTTATGAAAAAAGTTTGAGATCCACTGTCTTAGAGGAAAAAACACTGTATAGAGTATTTATTGAGATGTGGTTTCTTTTTTATTATAAACAAATGCTTGTGTATATTATTAAAGCAAATATAAAACATTTGCAGAGATTTAGCAAAAATTACAAAGAAAAAACTGCAATTTATGTAATGTGATGCAATTTATCTTACATGTCTGGGATACGCAGACATAAATCGCATATTATAACGATACATTTTCGATATATTGTTCACATCTTTTCACATTGCAAATTTCAGCTATTCCATTTAGTAAAAACCACTAACAGTCAAGAATACATGATAATATGCTGCCATGACTTCACAATCAAAAAATGTCATCATAATGGAAGCCAATGGAGCAAAAACAGCCCCAAACATAATGAAAGGGTAGTTGATTTTAGTTTGTTTTTATTTTTAGTTAATTTACTCATCCTTCACTTGTCACAAACCTATTTGAGTTTCTTTCTTCTGTTGAACACAATATAAGCTATTTTGAGGAATGTTTGGAAAACCTGTATCCATTTACTTCTATAATATTTGCTTTCCCTACTGTGGAAGTCAATTGTTACCGGTTTCCAACATTTTTCAAAGTATCTTCTTTTGTGTTTAACAGAAAAAAAGGATTAATCAAAGACTTTATTGATTATTTGACTGATCTAAAGTATTGATTTGATAGAAAAACAATTACGATTATATGTAAAGGGTTAGTTCACTCAAAACTGAAAATTCTGTCACTATTTACTCTGGAAAAACTGTATCCTATATTGTTTGTTTCTTCTGTGGAAGTCAGTAGTTACTGGTTAATGGAACATTTTTCAAATTATCTTCTTTTGTTGGTTATTATACTACTTTATTGATTATTTGATTAATTTAAAGTATTGATTTTATTGGGGAAAATGTGGATAATAAGGGATGGTTCACCCAAAAACAAAAATCCTGTCATCATTTACTCTTCATTTACTTGTCACAAACCTGTTTAAGTTTCCTTTCTTATTTGTACATTTTTTAAGAATTTTCCCAAAATATCTGTCAAAATCAGATTTGTCACCAACAATCATTCCATTTGCTGAAACACAGAGAAAGTTTTGGCTAAAATCACCCCAGAGTGGATGAAAACAACAGCACACAAGGGTTAAACATAACTTGAGAAACATGTGAAAACCAGTTAAATTTCACTTAGGGCTAATCATTTTGTCTTTAACTTATTTAATATGAGTTTAATATAAATTAAAAACAATAAAGCCCACCATAATGATTGATTTAAACTCTAGATTTGGCATGGCGAATGATAAGTAACAGATGGCGGATGATGAGTAAACAATAGGGGTGTCACGATTTCGATTTTCAATCGAAATCGATCAAAATTTATGCTCAATTTTGATTATCGAATCAAAAAATAGAATGGTCGATGCTGCCACGCCCCCATGTCACGTCAGCTTGGCTTGCCAAGCGGGAAAAAAACAGGCTTGTTGAAGTGCTTGTTAAACTGCAGAAGCAGGAGACCCGTCGACAGAACTTAAACCCTCTCCTCTTTCAATGAAGTCGCCGGTGTGTAAGCATTTTGGATTTCCAGTGAGTTATGATGACAACGTTCGTGTCGTCGACAAAAAAACACAGTTTTGCAAGCTCTGCTATGTACGTATTACGTACGGTTCGTCCGATAGACAACACCGGCATCGCGATCCTCCGCCACCCCCGTTGCAAATCCGCTCGCGAAAAGTTCACACTCAGGCCCTGTTTACACTGTCTTTGTTTTTAAATGGCATTTTAGAACGACAACGATTTGACATCCACAGTGGCGTGTAGCATTTCTGAGCAGCCCTCCTTCCTCTCTACCTCTGAAAACGCACATCACGTGACCACACAGACGCGCACACACAGTCATGCGCTCGAGACAGCAGGTCCAGGCAGTCAGAGGAATGCTTCAATCTTTCACTCACTTGCACTTAGTCATTTTAGCGAACACCTCAGATACTGTTGGCTGGTTCCTGTTGGTTGTGCGTCTTTTTTACCGACGCCATTATAACGACACAGATCACTGCCTATTCACGAGTCCCGCAGAAAAAGTGATTGACAGGTGGTAATTATGTGTGTATCTTGCCTTTATTCATTTACTGTATGATTTGTTTATGGGTAAAACAAAGACCATGCAGGTCAGGTAGTTTAAACGGTAGGCTACAAATAATTAATTGGTCATTAATTAATTAATTATTCATAATCGAAAATCGAATCGTGCCTTTAGAATCGAAAATGTAATCGAATCGAGGATTTGGAGGATCGTGACACCCTTAATAAACAAATATATTTTTTTTTATTAAACTGGATTCTCTGTTGGCCAAGAGGATAAATAGATTTGTAGTGTGTTTTTCCCATGTCCAGTCTAGACGGATTCCAACTGTTGTGGTGTAGCAGATGAAGCACTCGCACTTATTATGACGCTGCCCTTGAGTAAACTGAAAAACAGTCATTTCAGATTCATTCAGCTCGGCACTGAACATCAGTATTGATAGATTATGCAGAGTGACGTGAAGTCTGCGGGATGTTTCTAAATGCAGAGCCGTGACTCATGTGCTCCTCTGTATGAAAGATTTCCCTCAGTCTCTATAATCTCTGGAGAAACTCATGAGCACGAACTCTCTGTAGAAACTGAGCGATCTTCTGCTTTGATGAGGGTGATTGTGAAAAGATGCTGATCCCGATCCTTTCTTTATCCTGTCTTTATTACAGTGAGTACAGCTCCAGCCCCAAAACAAGTAAGTGAGATGAGTTCTGTAGCACATCACACACAATATACAGGTTTAAGCGTTGGATTAAAGAGGACATATGATGGTATTTTAAAAAATCTCTCCATTAAAAAGCACATGGTGAAGCATTCATTTTCACAGGATGCCTAATATACAGTCTACAACTGTATATTACTCAGGAAAAGGAAAGCCTCGTATGTCCTCTTTAAAGCTTTATTATCTGTTACTCACACAAGCAGCTCACACTCCTGCAAATGTTGCTGCATTATTAGTCTGACTGGATTTAACAATCACTAAAGCCACTGGATTATCTCTGCTAGGCGACTAAAATGTCCAAGAACAAGAAGAAAAAGATGAAGAAGAAGCAGAAGCGTCAGGCGGAGCTCTTGGAGAAGAGGATTCTGGAGATCGAGGGACTGGAGAAAGGGCTAGATGGAGGAGAAGAGGAAGATGAGGATGAAACGGAGACGCCCGACAGCACCCCGTCAGTGCCCAGCAGTCACACGCTACAGGACATCAGCACTGAGACCACACTGGGTGAGCGAGGATGCACTTCAGTGTTGATCTCATTCTGAAATGCAGAAGCGTGCTCGCTGTTGCAATTGTTTAAGAACTTCCGATGAAATTAGGCGAACTTCATTTAAAATTGCTTGAGATCTTGCGATGTGCAGATTTGACTTTGATTCTGAAACGATATACAGTGCATCGGGAAAGTCTTCATCTTTCCACATTCGTTAATGTTGCAGTCTTATTCCAAAATGGATTAAATTCATTTATTTCCTCAACATTCTACACACAATCCCCCATAATGACAATGTGAAAACAGAGTTTTTGAAATTGTTGCACATTTATTACAAATAAAAAAGCTGTAAAATCATCAGTATTCACAGTCTTTGCCGTGAAGCTCTACATTGAGCTCAGGTACATTCTGTCTCCACTGAACATTCTTGAGATGTTTCAGCAGCTTCATTGGAGTTCACCTGTGCTCAATTCAGCTGATTAGACATGATCTGAAAAGGCTACACCTGTCTATATAAGCTCCCAGGGTTGACAGTGCATGTCAAAGCACAAACCAAGCATGAAGACAAAGGAATTGTCTGCAGACCTCCGAGACAGGATTGTCTGGTGGCACAAGGTTACAGAAACATTTCTGCTGCTCTGAAAGTTCTAATGTGCACAGCGGCCTCCATCATCAAGTGGAAGATGTTTGGAACCACCAGGACTCTTCCTAGAGCTGGCCGGCCATCTAAGCTGAGTGATCGGGGGAGAAGGGCCTTAGCCAGGGAGGTGGTCAATAACCCGATGGTCACTCTGTTTGAGCTCCAGCGTTCTTCTGTGGAGAGAGGAGAACCCTTCAGAAGGACAACCATCTGTGCAGCAATCCACCAATGGTAGAGTGGGCAGATGGAAGACACTCCCCGCCTGGAGATTTTCAAAAGGCATCTGAAGGACTCTCAGACCATAAGAAACTAAATTCTTTGGTCTGATGAGACTAAAATTGACCTCTTTGGAGTGAATGCCAGGCGTTACATTTGGAGAAAACCAGGCAGCGCTCATCACCTTCACAGTGAAGCATGGTGGTGGCAGCATCATGCTGTGGGGATGTGTTTCAGCAGCAGGAACTGGAAGACTAGTCAGGATAGAGGGAAAGATGAACGCAGCAATGTACAGAGACATCCTGAATGAAAACCTGCTACAGAGTGCTCTTGACCTCAGACTGGGGCGACGGTTCATCTTCCAGCAGGACAATGACCCGAAGCAAACCACCAAAATATCAATGGAGTGGCTTCAACTCAGTGAATGTTCTTTAGTGGCCCAGCCAGAGCCCAGACCTAAATCCTATTGAGCATCTCTGGAAAGATCTGAAATTGGCTGTACACCGTCACTTCCCATCAAACTTGAGAGCTTGAGAGGTACTGCAAAGAGGAACGGGCAAAAATTCCCAAAGACAGGTGTGCCGAGCTTGTGCCATCATATTCAGAAAGACTTGAAGCTGTGATCCCTCCCAAAGGTGCATCAACAAAGTATTGAGCAAAGGCTGTGAATACTGATGTACATCTGATTTTACAGGGTTTTTATTTGTAATAAATGTGCAACAATTTAAAAAACTCTCCTTTTACATTGTCATAATGGGGGATTGTGTGTAGAATGTTGAGGAAATAAATGAATTGAATCCATTTTGGAATAAGGCTGTAACATAAACTAATGTGGAAGAAGTGAGTCGCTATCAATACTGTCCGGATGCACTGTGTAGTGAAGCCCTAGCAGCTTCCATCTTCATCAGTGTTTTTACAGGCTGTGCATTGAAATCAAAACTTACTGATGTTTTTCCTCCTCAGATGGCACCTCAGAAGCTTGGTCTCAGGTCACAGGATCCGTCAACGGTCACATCCCGAGCCCAGAAGACGAGCAGAGCCTTGACGTCCAGCAGCAGATGAAGGACGAGACCCCTGTTAACCCCTACGACAGCGGCAACGAGACCTCCGAGCCCACCAACCCCTACCCAGCATGCAACGGCACAGAAGAGACCGAGCCCAGCCCCGCATGCCTGTCCGCCGCTGACGGTAATGGAGCTTTGATTAGTGGCATGGTTGAGTCTCAGGGCTGTAGGGTGCAGGATGGAGAAAGCCTGACGGCGGAGCTGAAGGATCCCAGAGCGGAGATGGAGGCGGAGCCCGGCACGCAGGCGGTCCCAGAAGAGGAGGAGAGCCTGAAGGACGGTCAGTGTGGAGCCTTCGCTGGAGGACAGCATCCTCTGTTTCTGCTTACTAACTAACTAACTTCGCTCTCTCTGTCTGTGTGTTTCTTTGAGTTTCTAACACTGCACCATATTGGAAAATCTGACTTTGTGATTGTTTTGCTTTGCTGCAATTGTATATCGCGATATGAAGATAATTTCACCAGATGACCCGAATAGCTTAATTTGGAAATATTTCACTAATTTAGATCAGCTGGGGATGATTGAGTCTTTTTCTTATGCAATAATCTGTTTATATTCATCATCTGTGATTTTACAAGCAATTAACAAGCAAATGACGTACACTTCCTGACAAAAGTCTTGCCGCCTATCCAATTTTAGGAACAACCAATAATAACTGGACTTCTAGTTGATCAGAAAAAGCGGCTGATATGAAAGGCAAACACCTCTCGATTATGCCTATTTTACCAAAATAAAATATGATCATGTCTTGATGAATTATTTCATTAGAACAGTAAGGTATGACTTTGCTTAGACAAAAGTCTGGTCCAGTATAGAATATAAAGTCCTGCTGCAGTGGAGACAGAATGAATATTGTGTCTGACTCCATCATGAGCTTGGAGGACTGCATCCATACATCTCTGAGTCAAATCACTGATTAATAAAGTCTGGAATGGCAAAGAAAGCGTTCCTGCAGGACTCCCAGAGTTCATCAAGAGTCTTACCCCAGACATTCTCAATAATGTTCATGTCTGGTGACTGGGCTGGCCAATCCTGGAGCACCTTAACTTTCTTTGCTTTCATGTGCTTTAATGTGGAGGCTGAAGTATGAGGAGCGCTATCCTGCTGGAGTATTTGCCATCCACGCTGCAGATCTCTTGCACGCCCACATACTGAATGTAACCCCAAACCATGATTTCTCCTTCACCAAACTTGACTGATTTCTGTCAGAATCTTGGCTCCATGCGGGTTCCAGTGGGTCTTCTGCAGTCTTTGTAATGATTGAGATGCAGTTCAGCAAATTATTCATCAGACCTTCTGCCATTTTTCCAAATGATCAACTAGAAGTCAAATTATTATTTGCTGCTCTTATAACTGGAATGGACAAGACTTTTGTCAGGTAGTGTATAATGGCAAATGCCCACTTTTAAACCCCAAAAGATAAATCATATTTTACATTTGCTTCTTGTTGTATTAACATTGGCTGTTGAATATGGTTTCGTGTTCACTGCAGGTTTTCAACCGTTTACTGCTGTTTTTATTTCGATGCTCTCATTTTTCATGGCTGATGTTAAATATTGTAATGGTGTGTTTTAGCCTCAACATCCACAGTGCTTCATAAATCGAAAACACACACAACCTAAAAAGGTCTTAATTGAAAATGACCTAATCATTTACTCTGGTTCACTACTTTGAGTTTGTTTCTTCTATTGAACGCAAATGAAGATATTTTGGAAAGCAATGGTTGATGGTACACATTGACTTCCACATGTCGTGATTATGCCAAGTACGATGCAATCCTGGATTAACATCTATGTATACCTTATTCCTACCCCTAAACCCAACCATGACTGTAAATTATTCCCAAAATCAGAGGGGAATAATAGTTGGATAACAATGTAGAAGTGCATAAACTTAACCGTAAGACATACGGTAAACGGATCCTTAATTCTGATTGGCTGATTGGAATGTTGTTCCAGGATCAACATTGATATTAATCCAGGAATACGTCCTGCTTGGTGAAAGGTTGACATTGACTTCCATAGTAGGGGAAAGAATAATGTGGGTGTCATCAGCATTTTTCAAAATATCTTCTTTTGTGTTCATCCGAGAAAAGAAAAAACTTGATTTGAGTGAATGATCGGGATTTACATTTTGGCTGAGCTCTCCCTTTAACAGGAGGAATCCAGTGTGTTCACTATTGACTCTAAAAATCTTTCTCATGCTTTTCTTGTACTGCAGCTAAAACTGCAGCAGGAAACCTGCTAGTCAACCCTCTGGAGCCGCTAAACGCTGAGAAGATCCAGGTGAAAATCGCTGACCTGGGCAATGCCTGCTGGGTGGTGAGTCTGGAGATTTCTCAGCATTTACAACACAAATCCACACCTGTCAATCCTCCTGTTTTTCCTGAGATTCTCCTATATTTTATCCTGCAAAAATCCCTTTAATATTAGGGGTTTGAACACAGTTGTGTGGCAGCAGTGTGTGGATATAGCCATCTTGTAATGATAAACATTGATTAATTCTATTCTTTATAATCAGACTTGATCAAAACAGTCTGCAGAAACACTTTGATTGACATTCTCCGTTTGTACGTGTCATCAGAAGAAAGCCCCGCCCATTAGTGACCATTTATCCTCATTAGCATAGGACGTTAAGCTCTCATTGTCCTTCAGTCTGACTTTGACAGCTGAAGATCTTACAGTGTGACGTGAGCCATGTTCCTGCAGTCTGACATGCTACAATCATTCAGGATTATAAAAAAAAAAAAAAAAAAAAGAGTCTGTCTTTAGTCTTGTTTTTGAATCTCACACTATGCTGACACACAGGCATTTGTAGCTCCGCCCTCTTTTAAAAAAGAGCAAAATCTCATTTGAATTTAAAGCAACAGTCACTAAAATGGCACAATTAGGATCAAAACCACAGAGTCAGTTTCAGAGAGTTATTTTGAGATGAAACTTCATCTACACACTCTAGGGACATCTTATTTTACATTTTGTAAAAATGCTGAGGCATAATATAAAGTTTTTTCCTGTGTGTTTAATCTTTCTATAAAAGGGGGCAGTAACAAACAATGGCGATCCTCACTATACTTACAGTACCTCCGAACCACCTGGGGACGCCAAATTGGCTTAAAAGTATCTTAAAAAGACTGAATTAGATCTGGAAATATATATGTTTACCTGCTTATTTTAATATAATTAAATAAATAATTTAAAAACAGCTAATAAAATGAGCATTTTTCAAGAGAAATGTATCGTAAGAAAGATCGCTATCGCAATACTTAACAACAATATATGCTGCACGATATTGGAAAAATCTGACATTGCGATATTTTGTTTGGCTGCGCTATACATTGCAATATAAATATAATTTCTCCAGGTGATTTGAATAGCTCTGTTTGAAAATATTTAATTTACTTAAATTGACTGGTCAGATCAAGTGTTTTTCTATGCAGTGCATCTCCATAAAATGTAATAAATTACAAGCTTACATGAATGCGACAGCTGAAATGAAAGTTAAACAAAAAAGTCTAACAGCAGTCAAATATAGAAATTGAACAATCCAGCGTGAAATAACATGATCATCATTTTATACAATAAAACTGAAATTATTTAATAGTATCCTTATCTTTTAATCTTTAATAAATCTAATCCTGCAATGTGACTATTGCTGATACACACATTGCGATATCGATGCTCCAACGATACATTGTTCAGCCCTATCGCTTATTTTTTTCCAGTATCTGGCAGCCCTAGTTTACAGAATCAGCATGTTTTAGAGGGTCACGAAACACCAAAACACTTGTTTTGAGCTGTTGACAGTCGTATATGTGTCCCGCACTGCTAAAAACACTGTTAGGACACCTATATTTCACTAAAAAGTGAAAATTGGTAGTTTTTGTGTCATTTCGAGCAAATTCGTACTTCCGGTGATGCTGCGTCACGGCCATGAGATCTTAGCGTGTATTCCAGCGTGTAGACGGGACGTCTGCACCGGGGTGTACCGTATTACGTCTCAGAGTGTGCTGCATTAATGCAAGAGTAAGGCTTTTGTGCAACTTCACTATTATTCATTACTGTCACAGTGTATACGGCAGGGAGACGCCACATTGTGTTGGCAAAACAAGCGTGTCTAGAAACATTGTTTACCCGAGAGTTTTTTTCTTTTGCAAATGGATATCCGCATTCGCTGCTCGTCTTCTCTTTATAAAGACGCGGTTCTAGTTGCTGTGGATTGTCTTGTCTCTACAAATTTGGTAAGTGAGCGACCAGTGCTCTTTGTTTGTTGTCGTATCGAACTAACTATTGCGCCGAGTGTAAACATGTTAGCACTACAACCAAACTATTACCGTCGTGTAGAATTTTCACCTAATTTTGTGATTGGAATTACACAAGCGCGGCTTACCTGCCGAGTTCATCTAAGTTTTTGCGTGCGGTATCAAACATTGCATGAAAAATACACGCTTAGAGCAGTTCCTTGAATCAAATATCTCGTTTGTCACAAGGGGCACGAATGAATTCCCTGAATGAAAGAGCCAAATTGCAGTTAAAGTCCACCATTTAATAATTTGTCAAATAATTCGATTACAGATATCCATGTAAACACAGTCACTCTCTCCCCTGTGTGTGTGTGTGTGTGTGTGTGTGTGTGTGTGTGTGTGTGTGTGTGTGTGTGTGTGTGTGTGTTTTGACTCTGAAACTCAGCGCGTGGTCAAATTGACACTCCCACATCATCCCTCTTTTGCTCCTCCGACACTCCCCCCTAAACAGAGCTGGACACGTCCACTTTTCTGAGTTTTTCCAAAGTAGAGGTGTGAAAACACCCTGCTGAAACGAGGGGCTTGCGATTCAGATTATAAATGTTTTGTCAGTACTCAGCTCTGTTTAGACTACAGTTATTCATTTGTCACCTCAGTGTCAGTGACTGGTTGTTTACGTAACTCTTGTTTGTCATCATCAGCACAAGCACTTCACAGATGACATTCAGACGCGGCAGTATCGCTCTCTGGAGGTGCTGATCGGAACGGGATACGGTACTCCAGCAGACATCTGGAGCACAGCCTGCATGGTGCGTCTGAACTCGGTTACAAATACAGACACAATTATTAGCAAAATACAAATATTAAATACAGTTGAAGTCAAAATGATTCGCCCTCCTGTGAATTTTTCTTTTTCAAATATTTCCCAAATGATGTTGAACCGATTCAGGAATTTTTCACAGTATTTCACAGTAATATTATTTCTTCTGAAGAATGTCTTATGTGATTTATTTTGGCTAGAATGAAAGCCGAATTTAAAAATGAAACACCATTTTGAGCTCAATATTATTAGCCCCCTTAAGCAATATATGCATCACAGACATATGAATAAATACATTTATTTTCTGCATTTTAACGGCGTGTTAATTTTACAATGTGTAATGAACGACAATGTGTCATGCTTTGTCCACTTGTGATCAGATCAGTAAAAACAGATTTTAATAGTAGGTGTGAACAGGCCCTCAGTGTCCGCATGTGTGTTTCTCTATAGGCGTTTGAGCTGGCTACCGGAGATTACCTGTTTGAGCCTCACTCCGGAGAGGATTATTCCAGAGATGAAGGTAAATCTTCTCCAACAGTTGCAGGTCCTCAATTATCACAAACATCACATGCGAAGAGCAAAACACACCGCGAGCATGTTAATTAGCACTTGAATGAGTAATATTTCAGCTGTCGCTGTGGAGCTCACACTAGGCTGAGAAGTGTTTTAATGCATTCTCGCCAGGTCATTTAAACTGAACATGTAAGTGTGTTGAGGACATGAAAACAAACTTGAAAAGAAAAAAAAAAAGATTTCAGATTTGGAAATTGTTAAAAAAAAACGCTGCTGTTTTTGGACAAGGACATCATGTTTGTGTGTATTATTGTGTGTGTTCAGTTTAAAGGAGTGACTCGTGAACAGTGTTTGGTGTAATTAGTTATGAAGTGAGTGTCATTAAATCTGAAAAAGTAAAGGGATTACTTATAATGTATTTGTCTTAACGTAAATATATTCAGCAGTTCTGTATAATAATTCAGTAATAATATATTTTTTGTTGTACAAATATATTCATTCATTCATTTTCTTTTCGGCTTTAGTCCCTTTATTAATCTGGGGTCGCCACAGTGGAATGAACCACCTATACAAATATATTGTGCGGAATAATATTATTTAATTAAAGAAGGTTTTTATGATTATATGAATAGCTATACAGAGTTAAACATTTTAATTGGTAAAAATAACGTTTGTATTGTTGTTTTATATATATTATTAAAGTTTATTTGTGTGTGTGTATGTGTGTGTGCTGGGTAGGCATCAGACATTTTCAAGCGATACCGCGGTTTGGAAAAGTCAGGGTTTTAAAATCGCCAAAATTTTGTGTAATACCGTTCCCAAGGTATGTGTAAGATTTATTTATTTACATTTATTTTTTTATTTTTTTATAATGACAGTATCTCCAGCAGAAAAAGATATCCAAAGATGCTATTTTAAATTGTAAAGAAATCTGTGTTTTTGAAACTAATGAACACAGCACAAGTCAATAATTCATATGCATTATTTAACCTGAGATGTTTACTGCTCAAAAATATTTTAAATCTTAAAAATAAAATAATAATATATATATATATTGTTTTCAAAGGGGAAAAAAGTAAATCTTATGCCCAGACATTTAAAAAGAATATATTTTAGAGCAGTGAGTACAAAACCGTGATACTGTGAAACCGTAATATTTTTATCCAAGGTTATCATATCGTCAGAATATAATCCGCTTGTTAAGCGGTGACGTATGTAATACTGTTTGCGGGTCCAAGCCGCCATTCATTTGAGTTGAAAAATCATTAGTTTATGATCTCTTTTTATTCATGTCACACATTAAAGTTAATTTTACATAAAGTCACAGTGTACACAACAATCTCTGGGCTTGTTGCATAACAAATACCAACATTTTTACAATTTATAAAAATATGAATCCGTTTCTGGCCATCGGATATTAGGCATGGACATATATACTGCGATCGTGATTTTCAGAAGCATTAAATCGCTTTGTAAACGTTTATTATTGCCATTTCATGAGTCTCCCCATTCAGTTGAATAGAGGGCTTGGACACGGAAGCCGCTTCGCGTAACGTCACACTTAACAAGCGGATACCAGCCCATGCCAAGTGCAGGGTAAAGATTATTCAAGATGAATTGTATGTCTATTATGTATATATAAATGCATCCGTACAATCGAAACTATTTTTATAGTTTGATATAAAATACACATGTAAATGAGACACATTATAAACTAATTTAAATACCTATGTAAGGAAATAGTTTGTTTTTATGTATGTGCATTACATATACAGCACACACTGTAGTAAGCATAAATAACACACACACACACACACACACACACACACACACACACACACACACACACACACACATCTTATATAAAAACAAACTTTTGATAATCTTTGCCCGGCACTAATTGTCTGGGCACTCAAAGTGCTTTACACATTGGGGGGAATCTCCTCATCCACCACTAGTGTGCAGCATCCACCTGGATGACGTGACTGCGGTGTATATATCTCGCCAGCTGATTGGTGGAGAGGAGACAGAGTGATGAAGCCAGCTATGATATGGGGTGGTTAGGAGGCCATGATGGACAAAGGACGGGGCAAATTTGGCCAGGATGCCGAGGTTAAACCACTACTCTTTTTGAAGGACATCCTGGGATTTAATTGACCGGAGAGTCAGGATCTTGGTTTATCGTCTCATCCAAAAGCACTAATATAAATTTATATGTTATCTGTGTGTGTGTTTTGCAACATATAATGTCTAACGTCCACATAGAGTGTTGTATTCATTGCTAAAGGTTTGAGCCAGGTATACAGATTTACAATGCATCTGATCAGAAGGTAAAAGTTATTTCCACATTCATGTGGCTGAATCAGAGATATTCAAGCTCTAATGTACATTATGTAAAATTGTACATACAATTATTAACATATTTCTGTATTGTTTTACTTTAGTTGGTCTTAAAAGGTCGTAAAGTCTTAAATTTACCCTAAAAAAACCTGTAAAAAAAAAAAAAACTGTGTAATGTCATCTAATATTTCTGGTCTGAAACACACACACACACACACACACACACACACACACACACACACTCACACACACTCAACATGTTTCTCTTTCATCTGAACACAGATCACATCGCATTGATCATTGAGCTGCTGGGGAAGATTCCTCGTAAACTCGTCATGAATGGCAAATATTCCAAGGAGTTCTTCACCAAGAAAGGTACGTCTGTCAGTGGACACATGCTACGTGATGAATAGCTCTGCTAATGTGTTTCACTGAGGTGATGAGCTTGCTCACAGTGTTTGCTGGTTTTGTGTGAACCTCTCCGCTTGATTAATGTGGAATCTTGGCTCTGCCATTAAAGTCGTGGCCACACATTTTTTTGCGTATATCCTAGTTATGTTGGCTTGAAAAGAGAACATGTTATCTCACTTAAACTTCTTCTTCTGAGACTAATTTTCAAGTGTATCTCCTCCTAAGCCTTTTAAGCTACATACTTCAAACTTTCGTCAAACCTTCAAACTGGTCGGACTCGGGTTGCTATATCTTTTCTAACTGATCTGACTTTGGGTTTTCCGAAAAACAACTCAGAAAATTCCCAGAAGCCCCATTGACTTAACATTGGATCAACCTTTGTGAGCTCATAACTCTGCACCAGACTGTCCTACAGACTAGAGTCTGGCCTCATTTAACTCTAGACTAGCCAGCAGCCAATCACTGATGACGTTTACACTTACTAGCCACTCCCTAGCAACCAATTTTAGCACCCAAGCAACTGGTCAATAGACTATGACTAGCTGTTTTAACACATGCTTGTAGTTTTAACATGCTACTGACATGCTAATCTTGCTAGAAACATGCCAATGACATGCTAGCATGTGCTAATTCATGCTAGGAACAAGCTGATTCATGCTAGAAACATGCTAACAGCATGCTAATTCATGCGAGAATCATGCTAATTCATGCTAGAATCATGCTATTATGCTAATTCATGCTAGAATCATGCTAACAACATGCTATTTTATGCTAGAATCATGCTAATACCATGCTAATGCATGTTGGAATCATGCTAAGAGCATGCTAATTCATGCTAGAATCATGCTAATATGTTAATTCATGCTAGAATCATGCTAGTTATATGCTAGTTCATGCTAGAATCATGCTAATATCATGCTAATTCATGCTAGAATCATGCTAACAACATGCTAATTCATGATAGAAACATACTAACAACATGCTAGTTCTTGCCAGAGTCATGCTAACATGTTAATTCATGATAGAATCATGCTAACAACATGCTAGTTAATGCTAGAAACATGCTACCAACATGCTAATTCATGCGAGAATCATGCTAATTCATGCTAGAATCATGCTATTATGCTAATTCATGCTAGAATCATGCTAACAACATGCTATTTTTTATGTTAGAATCATGCTAATATCATGCTAATGCATGTTGGAATCATGCTAAGAGCATGCTAATTCAAGCTAGAATCATGCTAATATGTTAATTCATGCTAGAATCATGCTAGTTACATGCTAGTTCATGCTAGAATCATGTTAATATCATGCTAATTCATGCTAGAATCATGCTAACAACATGCTAATTCATGATAGAAACATGCTAACAACATGCTAATTCTTGCCAGAGTCATGCTAACATGTTAATTCATGATAGAATCATGCTAACAACATGCTAGTTCATGCTAGAAACATGCTACCAACATGCTAATTCATGCTAGACTGACTTGTTTTAGTTTTTACAGTGGTTACATTGTTGACCGCAGGGATCTTAAACATTCTTTTAGTCAATTTGACACTTTTTCAAACTAAATAAATTACCAACGGGCTTTCTCAAGCCACCATAAAGTTTTTCCTCAAACTTTAATATCTAGTTTATTTTGTATTTTCATAGGATAAGAAAACTCAGTCTTATAAATAGTAATTAGACATTAGCATTCGAAGGCCTGTGCTGAATCAAGTTACCCTGCCCGATATAAATTTTAATTAGGAGATATTTAAAATAATAATAATAATTTTTGTGTGTTGTGCTAGGTGACCTAAGGCACATCACCAAACTGAAACCGTGGGGTTTACAGGACGTCCTGGTGGAAAAGTACGAGTGGCACCGAGAGGAAGCACAGAATTTCTCCGACTTCCTCCTGCCGATGTTGGATCTCATCCCAGAGAAAAGAGCCACGGCCGCCGAGTGCCTCCGTCATTCCTGGATCAACTCCTAGTGGTCAAAATCACATACACCTACACACACACACACACACTCATGCACTTCTCTGAACTCATGAACTATCACACTGACAGACCCTTCTGTCTGAGGAGCCGATAACAGCAGATCTGATCTCAATCCATTTCTTTTTTTACTATAATTTAGGTGTACCGACATTTCCGTGGCTCGTGCTCTTAAACATTTATCTAACAATCACTTTTCTATCAATTTCCATCATATCACAGGGATGCTTCGAGACACTTCTGGATTGATTTCTCTTTTAGAAGGCTGGATTTGCTCCAGTTTCACTGACCGTGACCGTTTTTTAGTCCATGTCCGCCAGTAACTCGGACTCGGTAGCTGATTGTAGTGTTTCTTCACCGTATTAATAAACGATTGTTAATCGCAACTTGCTTTTTCATATCTCAGCTGAATGGTTTTACATCAACGAAGGGAACGTGAGATGGACATTCTTGAAGTTGTGTCTTTTGTAAGCTTCATTTTGAATGTGAGTGCAGGAGAAACTCATCATTTCACCACAAAGGGCAAACAGAGTTAAAGGAACACAAGTTTATTTTGAAAATAGGTTAATATGACGACTCCCCTAGAAGTAATTAGTTGAGATTTAGCATTTTTGAATACATTCAGGCAATCTCCGGTCCTGGCGGGAGTACTTTTAGCTTAGCTTAGCATAGGTCATTGAACCAGATTAGACCATTAGCATCTCATAAAAGAAGCACTTTTAGCTTAGCTTAGCATAGATCATTGAATCAGATTAGACCATTAGCATCTCACTCACTCAAAAAAAAGACTCATTCTGGTGAAATAATTCAGAAACTTTTCTGCTGTGCGATTTACAAACAATATTCAGGCACTGAGTAATATCATTGCGCCTGCTGCAGACATGGTACAGCAACAGGGTTTCTTGATTATTTTGCCAGAATAAGAGTACAGTTCCTGGCCATACCTGCCTTGAAAACAGCAACCTTTCCATTTGTGTCTGTCTTAGTACAAAATGTAACTTCAGAAGAGTCGAGCTTTAAATAAGAGAACTACCTTAACACTTTTTGAATTTTTGAGATGCTAATGGTCTAATCTAATTCAATGATTTATGCTAAGCTAAAAGTGTTTTTTTTGTGAAATGCTAATGGTCTAATCCGATTCAATGATCTATGCCAGGAGTGCCCAAACTTGGTCTTGAAGAGCCAATGTTCTGCAAAGTTAAGCTCTAACCCTAATCAGACACACCTGGGCTAGCTAATCAAGCTGTTGCTAGGCTTTTTAGAAACATCCGTACAGGAGTTTAGAAGCAAGTTGCTGCTAAAATCTACAGGACATCGGACCTCCAGGACCAAGTTTGGACACCCCTGATCTATGCTAAACTAAAAGTGCTTTTTTTTTTTAAAATGAGATGCTAATGGTCTAATCCGATTCAATGATCTATGCTAAGCTAAGCTATAAGTGCTTTTTTGAGTGGGATGCTAATGGTCTAATCCGATTCAATGATCTATGCTAAGCTATAAGTGCTTTTTTAGTGAGATGCTAATGGTCTAATTCGATTCAATGATTTATGCTAAGGTAAAAAGTGCTTTTTTTGTGAGATGCTAATGGTCTAATTCGATTCAATGATTTATGCTAAGCTAAGCTAAAAGTGCTTTTTTTTGTGAGATGCCAATGGTCTAATCCGATTCTATTATCAATGGCAGGAGTGTCCAAACTTGGTCCTGGAGGGCCGATGTTCTGCAAAGTTAAGTTTTAACCCTAATCAGACACACCTAGGCTAGCTAATCAAGCTGTTACTAGGCTTTGTAGAAACATCCGTGCAGGAGTTTAGAAGCAAGTTGGTGCTAAAATCTGCAGGACACCGGCCCTCCAGGACTAATGGTCTAACCAGATTCAGTAATCTATGCTAAGCTAAGCTAAAAGTGCTTTTTTGAGTGAGATGCTAATGGTCTAATCAGATTCAATGATTTATGCTAAGCTAAGCTAAAAGTGCTCTCTCCAGACTCGGAAAATGGCTAAATGGATTCAAAAATGCTAAAACTCAACAGTCTAAATCAAGGGGAGGTGTAAATGAAAATTTATTTTGAAAAAAAGGTGGAGTGCTCCTTTAATACTTCTCCAAAATCTGTAACGAACTATCATGTTTAGCATAACTCGTTGTATAAGTAATACTGATGTTTATTATGTGAATGCCAGAGAAGAGTTTTGATCTCGAGGTTATTTTCATTACAGAGTCTTAAAATCGAAATGTTCAAATGTTGTACATACTCATACCAAAGAGTTGGTTTCCTCACGCGATCAGTGTTGTACAGTCTCCAGTCCCATTCTTTGTGTACAGTTTTGCTATGAATGACTGGCTTAAGGTAAACGTTTGAGAATCACTGATTCGGAGATGCCTTGAAATGAATTCGCGATGATCTGTGCAACTTTTGGAGCTTTCTCGTTTTCACCACAGCATTGCTTTGAGCATTAGGAGTTAGTCTGTGGATGAAGTGCTCTGTTGCAGTTTAACTGAACTTTGCTTTCTCTTTTTTGACGCGGCGGTTTGCATTTCAGCTTTTACTGAAACATCATCTGCTCTCGGTTTTTTTCATGAATGTCTCTCCGCTTTTGATTGTTCAGCGCTGAACTACAACTGTTTCTGTAGTAACTTCAAAATAAAGTTTTTGAAATCACAAATGGCGTTCGGCACTTTTCATAGGATTTGTGGAGCTGCGATTCATGTCGAAAGCTTGTTGCATGTTGATTTCAGTTTAATGAAAACGTTTTTAAAAAACTATTAGCAAAATTGTAACCTGTTGATCTTTTATTTTTAGTGTTTAAATGGATGGTTCACCCAAAAATTACAATCCTGCCATCGTTTTTTCACCTCTTTTTGAGTTTCTTCTATTGAACACGAGAAGATATTTTGAAGGATGCTGGTAGTTGGCATCCATTGACTTCCATAGTAACTTTTTTTCTACTATGGAAGTCAATGTGTGCCAGAATTTTTCTAAATATCTTTTTTTTTTGTGTTCAGCAGAAAAAAAAGAAACTCATAAAGGTTTAAAACCTAATGAGGGAGAATAAATTATTGGGTAATTTTCATGTTCGGGTGAACTACCCCTTTAAGAGTTTGCATGAAAGTGAATGGAGTATATGGTCATCGAGTGGGTTGTTGCAAGAGGGGATACAGCTGTGGCCAGAAGTTAGCAATAATTATTTATATTGTTTATTAAATTACATTCATTTTCCTTCGTTTCAGAGGTCACCACTGCAGAATGAACTGCTAACTATTCCAGCCTATGTTTTACTCAGCTGATGTGCTTTCAGTTGCAACCCAGTACTGGGAAATAGCAAATGACATATTAATTGTGTTTTATTAAACTGAACCATCTTAGTCATTTAAAAACAGTAATTAAACCAAGTTTTATTCATTTTATTTATTCAATTACCCATTAAATTGTATTTTATTCAAACCTGACCTTCACAGTATTGTAGAGTTAATCATTGTTGTACAGTCACAAAATGATCCCATTTTGAGGTGAGTGTCTGCAGCTGTATCCCTTCTAGATTCTCTAAGATTTATTTTCAAAGGCGCAGTATGTAATGTTGAGGGTGTGGAATCATAGGAATTGTACTCATCATCAAGTGTTATGCCATAATAAACATTTAACAAATTTATTTGACTCCAAAATGACCTTTTAACAAACGCTCTGAAGAAAAAAATCTCAAAATGAGGAAAATATACATATTAGCAATAGCACATAACCTCACAATGGCAATTACTTCAACAGATAAAATACCATGTTTAAAGGTTTATTGCGGAGATCTTCAGAAAGTGAATGCGTTCGCATTAAGCCAGAGTCCATTGAGTCTGAGGATGTGCAGGGATCTTCATGCTTCCTCTGAAAACAAAAAACAAGCAAAAAAAAAAGCTGAAGGAGTTTCTCAGCAACATTCACAGCATCGTATGTGGAATGATTATTAGTGTTTTGCGAGTTATTGTGAGTATTAATGAGAGATGCATGCAAATATACACATTTACAATGGCTAAAAAAAGTCAAGCTTGAATTATGTGACAACAGAGAACTTCCATGGTCATAGTAAAGAGCACTAATAAATGATTTTACATCTAATTAGCATGCTGTAGTTACAACTTTGGACATTCCTTACAGCTCACACTTGTAAGGGAAAAGTTAGAAACATGAGATGTAAACAGTTGTAAGAAAAAAAGTTAAAAACGTGAGATGTACACTTAGAATTCTGCTTTTAATTTTTCTTTACAACTGTATGTTTACATCTCTCATTTCTTTTTCTTCTTACAACTGTTTACATCTCACAATTCTGCCTTTTTTCATAACTGTGACATATAAACTCAGAAATACAAGATAAGACAGAGCAGTGGGACATACACACTACAACAATAGAAGAATCGCAATTGTGAGATATACGAATAATTTAATATAAACGAGTGCAAGATGTGATTTTAGAAAGGCAAAACATCAAGATGGAAACATAATTACTCAAATAAAAGTCAGAACTGTGAGATCTATATTCAGAATTAAACGCAGCAAGTTAGAATTGGGAGAGGCATACTCTGTTTATAAAAATAAATAGGAAATGAGATGAACAACTTCTTAAATTCTCTCATATAAAAGGACTGTTCGCCCCAAAATAAAAATGTATTCATTCGAGTGGTTTCAAACATTTGAGTTTCATTGTTTTCAGAAAAATGCAGTAAGTTTGACACCCAGTGGTTGAACTTGGTATTGCACCCCTGGTTCAAAACACACGCAAGCTTAAGTTGCCAGATTGTTTACAACCACAGGAGTGATCGAGCGTAAAGGCTGACTTAAGTCGTGTTCATACCTGCCTACATTTGTCTCTGAAAATCTGGGAGAACGAGGGTGGGAGGGGGGTGCCTTGGTGTTGGGGGTGAGGTGTCTGAATAACACAGTCAACAACCGGGTAAGTACTGCACAATGCAGCGGGTTGTAGTCGACTGCTGCGATCAGATACTACACCAAAGTCGGCCGATGGGTCTGAAATACGGGAGACTCCCGGGAAAAATGGTAGTGTTGGCAGGTATGGCCGTGTTTTTAATAAAACAGCACACGATGGAAGGAATATTCTCCATATTTGTCCTAATTAACACCTGAATTTTATATTGTAGAATCGGCTTCTATTTCTCACAGGTGAACAGCAGGATAAACTATGCTCAGCTCAGGTACAGCTCATGTGCTTTATTCAGTGCTAAATGCTAATAATGTGAGTCTGAACGCCATTTTACATGACATTTATTGCGGTACTACTGAAAACAGCAGCAGATAGTTCATCTCAGATCCTAAAAGTAAAATAAACTGTTTAAAACTGAACTTTAGAGCCGTGACTCAGTGCAAACTAAGGGTGTCACGATCTTCCAAATCCTCGATTCGATTACATTTTCGATTCTAAAGGCACGATTCGATTTTCGATTATGAATAATTAATTAATGACTAATTAATTATTTGTAGCCTACCGTTTAAACTACCTGAGCTGCATGGTCTTTGTTTTACCCATAAACAAATCATACAGTAAATGAATAAAGGCAAGATACACACATAATTACCACCTGTCAATCACTTTTTCTGCGGGACTCGTGAATAGGCAGCGATCTGTGTCGTTATAATGGCGTCGGTAAAAAAGACGCACAACCAACAGGAACCAGCCAACAGTATCTGAGGTGTTCGCTAACATGACTAAGTACAAGTGAGTGAAAGATTGAAGCAGTCCTCTGACTGCCTGGACCTGCTGTCTCGAGCGCATGACCGTGTAAGTGTCTGTGTCTGTGTGGTCACGTGATGTGCGTTTTCAGAGGTAGAGAGGAAGGAGGGCTGCTCAGAAATGCTACACGCCACTGTGGATGTCAAATCGTTGTCGTTCTAAAATGCCATTTAAAAACAAAGACAGTGTAAACAGGGCCTGAGTGTGTACTTTTCGCGAGCGGATTTGCAACGGGGGCGGGCGGAGGATCGCGATGCCGGTGTTGTCTATCGGACGAACCCTAATACGTACATAGCAGAGCTTGCAAAACTGTGTTTTTTTGTCGACAACACGAACGTTGTCAACATAACTCACTGGAAATCTAAAATGCTTAAACACCGGCGACTTTATTGAAAGAGGAGAGGGTTTAAGTTCTGCTGACGGGTCTCCTGCTTCTGCAGTTTAACAAGCTCTTCAACAAGCCTGTTTTTTCCCGCTTGGCAAGCCAAGCTGACGTGACATGGGGGCGTGGCAGCTTCGACGATTCTATTTTTTGATTCGATAATCAAAATTGAGCATAAATTTCGATCGAGTGACACCCCTAGTGCAAACCAACACATATCAGTGATTCAGCATCTACATTTAATAATATTAAAGAGTTTTTATATGTAATAATTAGATTATAAACTTGACCATTTGGTTGGAGTGCAGTGAGTGCACTATTCTGTGCTTCTGAATGGCTGTATTTACATTTCTGTCATGTTTCGTCTGTAATAATAACGACTTTTGGGTGAACTATCCCTTTAAGGCATTAAATGAATGAACGGCGATGTCCTCTGTATACAGAAAGCTTTACCAGCCTGGTTTAAGCTGGATATAGTTGGTTTTGGCTGGACTCCCAGCTTGGCTAGGCTGGTCACGCTGGTTTTAGCTGGTCATCTCCCAGCCTGACCAGCTAAGACCAGGCTGGAAATGGCTGGAAACCAGCCTGGAAGTGACCCCTCTAAAACCAGCCTGGTCAATCAGCTAAAACCAGCCACCCAGCCTTTAAGCTGGATTTTTCCGCAGGGTATTCATACCTTTCTTCTCCTCCTGGAAGTCCTCTGGCAGCAGTTTGTCCTGCCGGTTGCCCAACACAAAGGCCAGGAAGGATAATGTGAGGGAATCCATGATGCTGATGATGGCCAGGATGTAAGCCCAGCGCACCGTACAGTTGCCCAGCGTGTATTTGTCTGTCCGCTGACCACACATCCGCTTCACCTCCTCTGAGTCCCAGCCGTCTGGATAGATCATACAGCCGATGACCATGCACGTCGCTGGAGATGAAAAACACACTCAATACTTAATGTTGGAGTCTCTGAAGTTAGAACCCACCCTGAGAAACGCTGACTGGAGGAGAAACGTGACAGAAGCAGCGCAGTGTCCCTTTTATCAATGTCAGAAATACTCTTGGCTTCCTGAAATACTTTGCATTGGAGGTGTTGCCAGGCAACTTCAGCCACACTTAACTCATCATGTATTATTCATATGACAATAGAGTGTGTGCAGGGCAGCTGGTGCTGCTGTGAGGATTGTTTTACACACACACACACTCTCACTTTCACACTTAATGAGTGTTTGTTGCAAATGCATTATGTAAATGATGAGAAGAGAGTGTTCTCCATGATAAGACAAGATGTAAAAAAGCATTGCATTTCACAACACGGCACAATTTGTTACATCCCGCTCTTAAAGCAGGGTAAAATCAGAAACTATAAAGAGTGCTGAAGGCCTCACTTCACCTCATTTAATTCAGAACTGATAGTAGCTGATTATTTCCCTGTTCAGCCTCAAAAATGTAATAAAACTTGACGAACGTTTTGAGTTCTGAGGCATCGGCATTATTATTTAATAAGAAAATATTCATTCATTAATTGTCCTTCAGCTTAGTCCATTTATTCTTTGCCACAGAGGAATGAACCGCCAACTTATCCAGTATGTGTTTTACACAGCAGATGCCCTTCCGGCCGCAACCCAGTGCTGGGAAACACCCAAACACTCTCACATTCACACACTTGTACACTTCGGACAATTTAGTTAATCAATTCCCCTATAGTGCATGTGCTTGGACTGTGGGAACACCTGGAGGAAACCCACGCCAACACAGGGAGAACGTGCCAACTCCACACAGAAATGCCAACTGGTACAGCTGGGGCTCAAACTAGCAACCTTCTTGCTGTGAGCCGACAGTGCTAATCACTGAGCCACCGTTATGCCCCCAAAACATGTTTAATTAGAAAGTAAAAATGGTGGAGTAGACAAATCTAATTTGCTTTCCTAATTATTACTAAAAGTATTAATAATTACCACATTAATATAGTCACAGTAATTTTTTTGTTATCCTTTAAACACACAACTTGTCAGGATATTTAACGGAAACATTAATAAAACCCACAAATAAATGTTGCTATTTTCAGATTTACTGTACATTCATTATTTTAAGTTTTAAACTATTTTGATTTTCTTTTAACAAGTTTGCCTATGATTTAACCAAAAATAAAAATTATATTAACATTTACTCACATTCAATATTAATAATAATGTATAATAATAATTACTACATAATATTAATTTAAAAGAGATTTGTCCTGCGGACTCCCTGACAGTATATTCACTCAAACATCAGAATAAAAGACCAAATTATAATGCGATCATGTCTTTTTAGAAGTATTAAACAGATCATAACCTTCATTCACATGGACTTATTTAGTTAAATCTCTTTAACATTTCAAAGTGTATCAAGAATCTTGAGGGAATAGACTTTCAGGAGGACTTATGAAATAAGAAGCGCTCAGCTTTGATTAAAAAATATCTTCATTTGTAAGATAAGTTCCTTCCATTTTAGGTTGAATATTAATATTCGTTTTATCACATGGTTCTGTGGAGTACTTGATTCTGATTGGTCACTCGCGCATTTTAAAGCATGTAATTATCCAATAGCAATCACTGAAACTGGTAACCCAGGCACACATCCGGATACTTTGAATAAAATCCTTAACCGTTGGTGACGGTTGTTGCTAAAAGTTGCGGCCGAAAGTTTAAGAGAATTATTTATATTATTTATTAAATTATCCGTTAATTGTATTTTATTAACGTCGCACATTCCCCCAAAAACCAACCATCATAGTAATGTATACTATGAATCTAACCGGAACTGGCCCTAGTGTATTTTGCTATCTGGATAAAAGTACTACGGAGCATTACTCATTAGGCAAAAATATGAGTAATACTGCCAAAATACAAAATATATTTAATATTTAAACTATTAACCATATATATATTGTATTACTTTGACGGCCAAGGCTACCCCTCACATTAATTTAAAAGTAGTTATACAGTGTCACAAAATATTGACGTTTATCTTCAGCTGTATCCCATCTAGACTTTACCGTTAGCTGTTTGGACGGCGCCATCTTGTGACTGAACAGTAAGTTTGTGTGTACTGCAATCTGCCGTTTTTCTTTCTGTAAGCTAACATTTAATGTAAGTAAGTGAATTATTTCATCATAAATCAGTGTTGTGTCTAACTGCTGGTAAGTAGTGCAATTAGCAGGATAATATCATCTAGGCCACAGGTGTCAAACTCAGTTCCAAAAGGGCCGCAGCTCTGCACAGTTTAGTTCCAACCCTAATTAAACACACCTGATCAAACTAATTGAGTCCTTCAGGCTTGTTTGAAACCTACAGGTAAGTGTGTGAGCAGGGTTGGAACTAAACTGTGCAAGGCTTCGGCCCTCCAGGAATTGAGTTTGACACCCCTGATCTAGGCGGTTGTTTTCACAGGATAAAGCCCTTCAGTTTGCTTATAAAGCTTTATTCAGCAAGAACACGTGTGTAAATCTGATTTATTTAAATATATGCACATTACATAAATGACTTCTAAGTTCATGTTTGGATTTCACATATTGTATAGCTAAAATATATGCAACATATATTTCAAAATATAACAAAAATGGTCATTTATATGGATTTTTTAAAACCTTGGAATGGGGTAGCCTATATGCACATGAACATTTAATTTTCAGCCAGCCAGCCCAAGCGCTTCTGGTGAACTGTCGCTCCATTACAAAATCGCCACATTTAAGATCTGATTTCTTTAAAAATTAGTGCTCTTTGCTGCCTGATTGATTTACAATGTAAAGAGGGTCTCAGACTGGACAAGACGCACCGCATTAAATTTTTCACCGCCATATCTTTAAAATATGGAAATTTACTTTACCTCAGTATTTTCAATGGCATTTGTGCACTAGCCTGCTGCTACTGATGGTGTTATGCTTGAACCAACTAAATAAATGCTTAAATCGTTTAACTGATTGTATTTTAATTACATTACAACATCGATTCTGTAAAACGAATCGTATGAAATTGAAAATAACCACATAAACCTTTCAACGGAAGTTTATCGTTGGTTGAAAAACACTAGCTGTGCAGCCCATTGCATATGTTTACACAATTATAGCTATATTTAAACATGCATTTATGTCATTACAATAGTTTAAATATATATATGTACAAAAATAATGGTATGTAATTTGCATGTATTGCCATATATTGATTAACCGGCTATATGTACATTATTCCTTTTATAGTTAGTAAGTTCTGAAAACTTTCACGAAACATATTTTCACTCACCAGCTGCCAACTGCATCCACGCGCAGATCTTATAAACACTGCCCGAGTTGCAGAAGAAGAACAGACTGAAGCAGACAATGGTGCCCACGATCAGCAGCAAAGAGATGCCAACGAAGAACATGGCGGTTTTGAAGGCGCCCGAAGGGATGGATCCGAAATCCAGAGCACTGCCTTTACAGACCAGCTCTCCAGTGATGGGATTCCCAATGCAGTAGTGGAACAGGCCAAAGTATCCAGACTGGGGGGTGTCCACGCTGTCTCCGATCCAGTAGGGCTGGATGAAGACCACCATACCGATGATGGCGAAGCAGATGGTGAAGATGGTCCACAGGACGCCGACGGCCCGCGCGTTCCTCACGTAGTTTGTGTGGTAGATCTTGGCAGCCTCTTGGGCAGATAGCATTTTCGCCATGTTTGCTGGAGATGATGGTCCACCCCGGAGGTGAGTGGTAAATTAATGTGCTGATGTTAGAAACGCTTTTGTTGTCGTGTCTTGATTGCTGTGATTAATTCTGCCGGATGTCCTCCTTGAGTCTATGCACTGTTTGATGTAAAAATTAAAGCGAGAGGTGACAATAAGCAGTGTTGGGTGTAATTAGTTACAAGTAAAAAGTATAGGGATTCATTTTCATTTGAATTAGTTACTTGTAATACACTATTTCGATATAAATCAATTCAAAAACGCAGGGTTATATACTTATATAACTTATTTAACTATATATTATTATGTATGTGTATTTTTACAACAGTTCTGTCTGGTTCTCGAATCTAATTGGCTGATAGCCGTGCAATATTCTGCAATAACACCACTAGTGCAGCCTCTTCACCCTTGTGTATTACTCCACCCATATAGAGTGACAGCAGATCAATGAACTCACTACAGTTTGACAAATATTGCAGCTGTTGGACAACATAATGTACATTTGATGCGTAGTTGTAGTTGTTTAGATTATAACTATGCAGTTTATTTATGAGGATAGTGCCTCCCACATAGCAAAATATCTCTGGCCAACATATTCAGCTTTTGCTTGGCCCACATTCTGCATTGAATTATGGTACATGTCTGGACCAAGTCTAGCTTACAGACAATGGTCAAACACGGACCATATCTGGGCCAAGTCTCAACTAAGTTAATAACCCATAACTAGGCCCGCACGGAATCTGTATGCGCAGAATTGCGCAGATTTTCCACAGATTTCTGCAGATTTTTAGCCCATTATTAATTTTGTTTATTTACTTGAGTAAATGTGTAAATCTGAATTTATTCAGTTTTCATTCAGTAATTTATTACTTTTTATTTAACATATTAAGGTTTTAGTTATGATACTTCCAAAATAATTCCGCAGAAATCTGCAGATTTTTACCAAAATTCTCTGCAGAAATAGCAAAAAACGTCCGCAGATTCCGTCTGGCCCTGCCGATAACTGAGCCTGAACTGGGCCACATATGTTGGTGTCTGGACTGCAGTGAAATTAAAAAACCCATAAATCTTTGCACTTTAGGCATGCAATGGGCATGCTTTTTCTCGAAGCGACCTGATTACTTGAAATTTTTTTCTTTATATGAAAAAAATAAAAATGCATTATAAATGTGGGTTACATGGCCCACATAACATTTTTTAACAACTGGGCCAAATTCTACATTTTACATCTGGCTCAGGTATCCTGTGCCACTTTAAAGATGTTGCCACCTCACATGCTGGCACATGCTGTATGCCAGTGCCGGATGAATGCCTGCTGTGCCAGATTTATGCCAAATCTTGGCCAGAATTCTTTGCTATCTGGGCGGTTTTAAGTATTTTTAATTTCGGAGATTGGCAACCATTAAGCCTGGTTTAAACTTCTGCGTCAAGTGATCGGCGTGACCCATGGCGCACATGGGACACAAAGCAATGCACGCCTCCCACCAGTGCTGATATACAGCCATATCGCACTGCTGCTCATGTGATATTGCTCAAATGTATATTAATTACAATAGTAATAGTGTAAGTACTAATTAATTCGATTTTTAAAGTAACTTACCCAATATTGATGAGAAGTGTCTTCTTTCTGAATAATTCTGCTCTGACTTACTGTAGTGATCCGTGTCTCCTTCTGCAGGACAGCAGTTGTCCGCTGTTTCCTCCATCAGATGTGGCTGAAGAGAGAGTTTAGAAGTGTGTGAGTCTTCAGACGCGCTGTGCTGGTGCTCTGAGATCAGGAGATTATTAATTAATGGAGGAGTACAGTTACACTCTCACTGCGACTCAAAGATCAACACACTGGCCGTCAGTCACTGAGAGGTAATGATCATCATACACTCACAGACTGACTTATAGACAGTAAGACTGACACAGAAACAGATGGACACACACATATAAAGACAGATAGACATACACACAGACAGAAACATAGAAACAGACGTACACACACATGTAAAGACAGATTAACAGATAGAGACACGGACACACACACAGAAACAAAAGGACAGTCAGAGACACACACAAGCATTAAGACAGATGAAAAGATTGAAACACAAGCACAGAGAAAACAACAGATGGACATAAAGATAGATGGACAGACACACACAAACAGACACAGACATAGAAACAGACACACACACATACATATGCAGAAACGGACGGACGGACGGACGGACGGACGGACGGACAGACAGACAGACAGAGACAGACAGACAGACAGACAGACAGACAGACAGACAGACAGATAGATAGACAGATAGATAGATAGATAGATAGATAGATAGATAGATAGATAGATAGATAGATAGATAGATAGATAGATAGATAGATAGATAGATAGATAGATAGATACATAGATAGATAGATAGATAGATAGATAGATAGATAGATAGATAGATAGATAGATAGATAGATAGATAGATAGATACATAGATAGATAGATAGATATGACAATAAAAGAGACATAAAAGGTTTAATCTTAAATTGTCTGCATGTATCATTAGTAAGCAGGTCATACTTTTACAGAGATAAATAGACAGACAGACAGACAGACAGACAGACAGACAGATAGATAGATAGATAGATAGATAGATAGATAGATAGATAGATAGATAGATAGATAGATAGATAGATAGATAGATAGATAGATAGATAGATAGATAGATAGAAAGACAGAAAGACAGATAGACAGATAGATAGATAGATAGATAGAAAGACAGAAAGACAGATAGATAGATAGATAGATAGATAGATAGATAGATAGATAGATAGATAGATAGATAGATAGATAGAAAGACAGAGATAAATAGACAGACAGACAGACAGACAGATAGATAGACAGACAGACGGACGGACTGACGGACGGACGGACGGACGGACAGATAGATAGATAGATAGATAGATAGATAGATAAATAGACAGACAGACAGACAGATAGAGAGATAGATAGATAGATAGATAGATAGATAGATAGATAGATAGATAGATAGATAGATAGATAGATAGATAGATAGATAGATAGATAGATAGATAGATAGATAGATAGATAGATAGATAGATAGATAGATAGAAAGACAGAGATAAATAGACAGACAGACAGACAGACAGATAGATAGATAGACAGACGGACGGACGGACGGACGGACGGACGGACGGACGGACGGACAGACAGACAGACAGATAGATAGATAGATAGATAGATAGATAGATAGATAGATAGATAGATAGATAGATAGATAGATAGATAGATAGATAGATAGATAGATAGATAGATATGACAATAAAAGAGACATAAAAGGTTTAATCTTAGATTGTCTGCATGTATCATTACTAGGCAGGTCAAACTTTTACCCCTCCCTTTTGATCTTACTATAAAAGTGTCTTTAAGAAGGGTTTGGCACTACTGGAGGCTTCAGGTTTACCACAAGAGTTCAGTGGCAGTCAGTAGGGTGCTTCCGCCAGCAGGAGGCGCTGTGATATTAAGAAACACGCTTTATAACCGGACTGGCCTTTTCAGATTCTCTTTAATCACTGGTTGCTTTAATAACCGGCCAATTATTCAATTACTGTCAAATCAAGTGCTCAGAGAGCAGACAGAATGCGGTAACACTATACAATAAGGTTATATTAGTTGAAGCATTTACTAACATGATCAAACCATGAACAATACATCTATTGCTGTATTTGTTCATGTTAGTTAATGAAAATACAGCTGTTCATTGTTAGTTCATATTAACTTACATTAACAAGCATGAGTTTAGATGCTATTATTGCATTGGTGAATGTTAAACTTTGATAAATAAATGCTGTACAAGTATCCTTTATACTTAATGCATGATAGTAAACAACCAATGAAACCTTAATGTAAAGTGTGACCCAAGAAATTTATTAACGTTCCACTTTAGCATATAGCAAAAATCAGACTAGCCTGTCTGTGAAATCATAAGTGCAAACAGCTAATCACCCTGTCAGATTTAACAATTGGTGCAAAGTCATTTTTTTAAGGGACAAATAACATTGACATTTAGGAGGGAATAATGTCACCATCCCCGTCACCTGCCCCTCTGCTGCATAATTGCACAATAATTCTTGATTAAAATATATAAATCGGAGGTGCAGGGGACAATAGCACAATACAGCGGCCCCCCTGGGACTGAATGAGGAAATCAATGAAGAGCTCATCTGCCCAATTCAACCGTCCCACTGGCTTTGTCATGAATAGCCGCCAGACGCACGTCAAGAGACGGCCGAAAACGTGCCATCTGCTGCCCATGATAGCATTTAGCAGAGCAGAGAAGCTTTGTGTGTTTTAGTTTTAGTGTCAGATGAGTGAAAGCATTGATGAATTACAGCTTATAAGGACACCAGTAGTACAGAAAGCTTCCTAACGAGAAGTGACTGCTTATGATGTATGAACAATAGTAATGTGATTGTCCTCCGGGATGTTTTGGAACCACAAAACATCCAACAAAGATCTGCTTATTAATGTTTGACCAAATGATGTATGAAAAGATTGATCTGTCAGACCCATTATCCGCCGGTTTATCTCTTTTATTATAATAGAGAGAGTATTAGATCGTTTACATTACAATGCTTTAAATGGATAGCTGCAACACAGGCTCATTCTGAAAACGTACACCTATGTACATTTCTGGAGATCGTGAATTATGTAGCCAGCGGCAGTCTTTGAAACGAACGCTATGGGTCATGATGTTGTTCCTTTTCCAACCCAGGCTCATTCTGAAAACGTAGTCCTATGGACGTTTCCGGAGACGGCAAAATATGTCCCGGGAGGTTTTTGTTTTTATGAATCCATGAGTGTGCGATTTTTCGCATCTCAAATGTCTCGTGCTGGCGCTGTTCTCACTTAAACCCACCAGAGACGGCTGTCGACCGACTGAATGATTGACAGCCCGACCGGCCAATCAACTCCCCCACCCTCCTTCTTCCCTAAACCCAACCACTTTTACACTTTGACCCGCCCACTCGCTTACTTCCCCTAAACCCAACCGATGGTTTACAAAAGACGTCCAGAAAAAGAAAAGCCCTCGTCTGATTTTTACCACGTTTTACCACATGCTCACCCTGTTGTTCACTCGATCATTTTATTTTTTTGGATTCTGTTTTTGTCTTACCTGATTTCTGGAACCACTCTTCCCCGGACTCGAACCCGGTCGTCGTTGTCAACTCCTCTCATCGTCTCAAGTCCGCCGACATCAAGCGGCAACCTACCGCTCCAAAATAGAGCAAATTTCAATTGAGCCCACTGTTAGAATGGCCAACTTTACAGCAGAAAAAACGGTGTTTACAGCCTGGTACAAAAAAAAGATTTTGGTTAATACAGCTAATATTACCCTTCATGACAACTGTGAGGGGGGTGAATTATTTTATAACTCATCCGTTTCCTTTATATTAAGTTATATTAAGTTTGCATAATTAAGGGCGTGGCCACTTGAGTGACAGCTAGGTCTCGTTGGTCGCCGTCACGTCACCTCAGCTGAATCCTGCAGATTAGCCACTGATCTCGGCATATTTATCGTATTTCTGTGTTGTTTTATGTGGCTTTACACAGTCGACTGCCTTTTGGACTTGTTTCCTACAATTATTAGATAGCATGGCATGCTGAGTGTACTTAATTGTGCTCACAAACCATTCACGTGGCCTCCGTTTCCCATGTGAGTAAAATTATATACTTATATACCATCTCTATACATGTATTTGTTTTATTTAAGATCATTTATCGTTTATATTTATATTTAGAGCTGTAATGCACTCCAGAATCTGTCAAATTGATTAGCTGTGGGCTCTAGAACAGTCATCTGAAGCGTTGTCATACAGTGTTATGCTGGATTTCATCAATAGTCTTACATTAACTAACACAGACTGAATGATTGACAGAAATTTGGAAGTAATTTGCATTTTCCTTCTGTTAAAAAACGTCATAAGAACAATGTTTAGTGGCTCAATGTATTACAGCAGTGTGTTTTTAAAAGTCTAAACACTTTATTGATATAGTGTACAACCAAGCACAAGTGGTCAGAATACAAGCGAGTCGCAGGTGATAAAGTATTAAGCGTTTCTCCCAAAGCAAAGTGTGTCTGAGCCAGGTCCAAGCTAAATGCCAGCAGGTGTCTGTAGCTCCGCCCACTCTCCGCCTCTTTGCCCTTGTTTGGTATCCCGCCGTGGGTGTGATGACGCGCCTACTTGTGACTTCTTTTGCGCTCTTTAGAAACCTATGGGTGACGTCACGGATACTACGTCCATATATTTTACAGTCTATGGCCGACATACACAATGAGCTAACTGGACAAACTTAATAAACTTAAGGCTTAATTCACCCTAAAAAATGTTATCGACTAGATATTTACTCTCCTTTGAGTGGTTCCAGTTGTTTATGAGGTTCTTTTTTCTGCTGAACACACAAAATCTATTTTAGAGAATGTTAAAAAACATAGCACATTACATAGTAGGTAAAACAAATACTATGGAAATGAATGGTTACAGGTTTCCAGCATTTTTCAACATAACCTCTTTTGTGTTCAACAGAATAAATCAACTCATAAAGGTGTGAAACAAGTGAAGATTGAGAGAAAAATGATTTTTTAATTAATAGCTGTCCCTTTAAAACATTTCTTAGCAGATTAAAAGTGCAACACCACAGAGACGCACATCCATCCCGGCGATTTCATGTCATTCAGCGGTCCACCCAGACAGCTGGTGTCCTCCAGTCAGATGTACTTACA